GTGGCGCGGCAGTCGACGGCGATGCTGATGGCGTTCTTACGCTTCGTGGCCCTGACGTCGCCGACGGCCCGATCGACGAGAGCGCAGTCGTTGGCGGGACGGGGCGACTCGCGGTGGCGCGGGGGCACGCGCGCCAGACCTGGGCTAGTGAGGGCCGCCTGCCGGGCGAGGCCCAGCTCGCCAGCGTGGCCGCGGAGCCGGCGAATGCGGCGAGGAGGGCTCGCTTCGCCGCGAAGGCCAGGCAGGCCAGGGCGGCGAAGCGCAAAGCGTGAATTGCCGACCCCGCTTTCGCTTCCAGGCAAAACCAAGTCACGCCGCGCGCCTCCTCGTCAAGCGGCCTGACCAGTACAGGCCGTAGTTTGGCATCGCTTGGTATGTCTTGGAAGCGAGGGCGGTCAAAAGCGAGGTAGTTGTTTTTTGTCCCCTAGAAGCGCGGGAGATGAGCCTCGGGTGCTCGGCCCGGCCGCCCGCCGCGCCGCGCGGGGGCGGGCCCGTGCTCTATCCCGCTGGCGCGCCTCGAAATTTTGGCGCGGTGCCCCCCCCCGGTTTTTGGGGGCCGCCGCCGCCTGGGTCGAGCGGCCGCTGGCGGCAGCTGGGTTTGCCCGCTCTTGTCCCCGCGGGGATGGATTCCGCCCCCCTGGCTAGCCTTCGGGGTAGGCCAGGGTCGGCTGGATGCCTGTTCGGGCTGCCTTGGGGCCCTTCCCTCGTCGCCGCGGCGCCCGCGCGACGTGCTCGAGGCTGCGCGGCGCTCGCGAGACATCTGGGGCCCTGACGTCCGTCTGCGTGCAGACGGCCGCAAGGGCCTCCTTGATAAATGTCAATCCTTATTTCCCTATTCCTTTCCCTCCGCAGCTTCGACGTCACGCCCCACGCCTCCACGTTGGCGCGTGAGGGGCGCCTAGGCTGCAGCACCGCGTGCGCCGTTTTTTCTGGGCGACGAAGTGGGGCGAAAGTTTCGAACAGGCGGCCATCCAGGGGTATTCAGACCTCCGGCAGGGCCTTGAGCCCTTCAGCCAGGTTTTTATGAATGCTTACCATTTTGTTCTTCTTGGTTCTACATCCTGTGGTTGGTTCACTTTCTTCGAGCGTCGAATCCTGCCATTCTCTCTTACAGCATTGGGCTCGGCGCATGCGTGTTTGGCGTGCAGGGGTCGGGTGCTCAGTGGCAGTTGAACGGCATGCGAGAGCTGAAGTGCGCACCGACCGTCATCAGCTACAACGGTTTCGCCAGCACGTGAGAGGCGAGCAATCAGAGGCAACGGGTTTTCGCTGCAAAGCTAGATGGGTAGTCGCGGAGCCAACTTCATCAGCTACAATGCTCGGTTCAGTGCGTGCGAGAAGAACGATTGGGGACAGCAGGCAGGCATGTGAGACTAAGACGCGGCCCCTCGGCATGTTATTATTTTCATTGCTGCCATGGGCCAGCGGTGGCAAAGGGCAGTGGCTGCAGCATACCAGTTCGTTTTTCAATCTGTTCGCAAGGTTGATTCTGCGGCTTCCGCGTCAATGCGTGGCCTGGGAGGCGCGAGAACGGCGTGCAAGAGCTTTTTCAGTCGGTGCGTGGTTTGGGGTGGAAGGCAAACTTAGGCCAACCGTTATCAGCTACATCGTCGGGGCCAGCGCGTGCGAGAAGGCAGGCAGTGGCTGGCAGTGGCAGTTCCCAGTAATAGTGTTGGCTAAACAAGAGTGGTCCGTCGGCGCATCCTCTCCTGCGTTGCCGCAATGCACCCGCTGGGTATCAGCGCCAGGGAGCAGCGCGGACAGAAGAGAGGGAAGGTGGAGGCCCCGAGGCGCTGCCATTGGCATCCTCGAAAACCAACAGGGAAGGTGGTGGCCTCGAGGCGCTGCTGCGGCATCCTCGAAAAAACCACAGTGCACGTTATCGTGCAGATGTGGTGCGAGAAAGCAGGCAGCGGCGGACAGCGGTAGCTACCAGTATCGGTGCGAGGATCAGTGCGAGCGGTCCGTCGGCGCATCCTCCCCTGCAGTGCCGTAATGGACCCGCTGAGTCTCGATCTTGGGTCAAGCACGTGCGAGAACGGCGTGCAGTGGCAGCTAATCCTGGCGGAGCGTGGCTCGATGTGGGAGGCGATGTTAGCCCGACCGTTATCAGCTACAGTGCCGTGATCAGCAGGTGCGAGAACTCAGGCATTGCGGGCAGTGGCAGCTACCCGTAATGGAGCAAAGCTCAATAGCAGCGGTCCGTCGGCATGCCCTCTCTTGCAGTGCCGTAATGGACCAGCTGAGTTTGTGCTTGGGCCAAGGCTGTTTTTCTCATTCGCAGGACGTCTGCACAGTGTCTACGTTCTCTCGTTTATTTTTGTGTGTATATTCCCCGAGGTACTGGTTTGGGTGCAAGAGGGAAGAAGCAACACTTCGGTAGCTGTCTTACGAGGCTGTGTGTGGAGGAGGCGATCTGGATGACATGCGTGAAAGGTTGCTCGGTTATCTGTGACACAGTAGAGCCGTATCGAGCCGATTTCATTTCAGCCAAGTTTGCTTCAGTATCCTGGTGGGGTGAGGAATCCATCTGGGGCTTGGTCGTCTTTGTTCGTCAACCTCAGGCTCTTTCAGCTCCCAGTCCTACTGCTTCGGGCCTCCCTGGTTAAGTTCGCCATGATGCACTTCCTTGTTGTCGTGCCGCTCGGGGTGATCAGGGGAGGACCGTTCTTCGTCGCCTTCCAGTTCGTCGGGCATTTCGACATGTTCAGGGGGTGGCATCTAGTGAATATCGCACCGCGATAGAGCCCATTCCATTCCATTCCTTCCGTTACCGATCGTGTTTTCGAGGGCGGGGCGTCGCCGTATCTTTTTTCAGGATGCGGTTTCGGCGTCATCCCGCCGCGACGGGCGATGGGGGCCGCAACCATAATTTTTTCGCTTCGTATGATCACATGCTTTTGGGATGGCACAGTTGTCAGCTGAGTACGTGTCGTTCTTGTTCCTCCCCTGTGTTCCCTCCTTGTCCCCAGCCGCCCTGCTTCCCTCCCGCTTCCCTCCTTCCTTTTTGCTTTCGCCCTGGAGGTCCCCCCCTCGCCCGCTCCTTTTTTGTCCCCCGTGTGTCCTAATTCCGCTGGATTTGCTGGCCATTGTGATTTCTGCCGTTTCCATTGCCCTCATGCAACACATCCCCGGTGCTCGTGCTCAGCTAAGACCTGAGCGCACGGGGACCTGAGCTAAGACCTGACCGTGCGCTCCAAGACCCCGAGGTTTTGCATCCCCCGCGTGCCTGGCGACGACGGGCCCAGCACGGACGGCCCAACGCCGATACAAAACCCAGAACTTCCAGAATTTCCCCAATTTCCAGAACTTCCATAACGCAATCTGAGCCAATCGTATCCCGGCGCTGCCCTCGCACCGGCCCGCTGTGCGCAGTCGGGACAGCCGCCTCCCCGGACCTCCGACCGCCTCCTCTCCCCGATGTTCCTCGCCTTGCTTCGCCCCTTTTGTTTGGTTTCTGTGTTTTTTGGGATTGTGTGTGCGTGTGCATGTGCGTGTGTGTGTGCGTGTGCGCGTGCGTGTCTGTATGTGTGTCTGTGTGTCTGTGTGTCTGTGCGTCTGTGTGTCAGTGTGTGTTTTTGTTGTTTTTTTTTCTCTTTCTCTCTCTCTCTCTTTCTCTCTCTGTCTGTCTGTTTCTCTCTCTCTCTCTCTCTCTTTTTTTTTCTCTCTCTCTCTCTCTCTCTCTCCCTCGATTGAAATGTGTAGAAATATGTATACATAGCTGTACTAATTCAATCGGTTTCTCGGTTTCCTGCTTAATGTATAATTGACCTGGTAGAACTCCGGATGCGACCGGGGAGCCTGAGTCGGCAGCGCCCTATGAGGGCCCAAAACGTCCGCAGATGGCCCCAAGACGGCCCAAGAGGACCCTTCAGGAGGGCCCGACGAGCACCCCCAGATGGCCACGATGGGCCCAAGATGGCCCAAAACGGACCCAAGATGGCTACTCGACGGCCTCACGGTCTCCCCAGATGGCCTAAGGGGGGCCCGACGACGACTCCGAGGAGGGCACCGGGAGGCAGTATTTTTGCTCGTGTTCTTGAGGTTTCGGTGCAACTTTCGCATATTCGGCTTCTCGGACTCCCGAGCTGATGGGCTTGTTTTCCAGCACCACCACCAGAAGGTGGAGGGGGAGGGGGTCCTCCTCTTCCTCCTTCTTCTCCTCTTCGTCGTCCTCCTCCTCATCGTCCTCCTCCTCCTCCTCCTCCTCATCCTTCCCCCCTCCAACTTATGGTGGTGGTGGAAAACGGGCCCATCAAGAGCGCTCCAGACCGCCGAAGAGCCCCCCGAGGTCGTTCCAAAAGGGCCCAGCAGGCGCCCAGGAGGGCCCCACGACGAGCTCAGGACGGCCCAAGAGGGGCCAAAGACGGCCCCGAGAGACTCCAAGAGGACGCCCGGAGGGGCTCCAGACGGCCCAAGAGGGCACCAAGACAGCCCAACGGGGCCCCCAGACCGTCCCAAAACAGCTCCAGCGGTCCCAAGATTGCCCAGAGGGGCAAAGACGGGCCCAGAAGGCCCCAAGAAGGCCCAGGAGGCCCCCAAGACGACTTGAAAACGGTCTCAAGAGACCCCGAGGACAGCCCATCCGGGAGCCTGCATTAGTACGGCGACGGTCAGAGTACGTACATATTCACATGTATAGACATGTGCACATGCAGACATCCATACATACATGCATGCATGCATGCATACATACATGTATGTAATTATGAATGCACATTTTGAACTACACAGAACTACACATACATACAATCATACATGCATATATGTAAAGGCGTATACGCAATATGCGTGCATGTATGTATATAGTTGTATGTTTCCTTCCCCCTCCCCCTCTCTGTTTACAGTGGGTTTCTCAATTATCTCGCTCTCTCTCTCTCACTCTGTCTCTGTCTCCTCGCTCCCTTCGCCGCTAATCCTTGATTTCTCCCCAGCTTTGACGAAGACTGCAGCCTGCAGCCTGCAGCTCTTGCGCCATCGGGTCGGTTCCTCTTGCGGAGGCCTTCAGCCCAACGACCATCAACACGGGAAAGGGCACGGAGTTCGAGGGGGCCATCATCGCGCTCTTCCACCTCATGATATCGAAGACCGACAAGGTAGTGGCGTTGAAGGAGGCGCCATCTCGGCTTCACTCCTCCATCTTTGTGGTCGAATGGAGTGAAGGGGACAGACAGGAGGGGGGTAACACGATGAACATGAGGGTAAGCAAGAGGCGGGGAGGCGAAAGGCAGGAAAGGACTTGAGGATGGACGAGGGGAGCCGTGGAGCAGGGGTGGGGGGGAGAGGAAGCGGAAGGAGCAATGCGAGGAGGCGAGGAGCGGGGGGGGGGGGCAGGGGGTTGGAGGAGAGGAGGGGGCAGAGGGAGGGGAGGGGAGGAGGAGAGGGCGGCAGGGGGAGGCGTGGGGGCGATCGGGGAGCGCAGGCTCGAGGGGGCGGCGCGCACAAAGGGGGGGGAGCACGCCGAGGGCGCCGCCGCAGAGGGGGGAGCGGGGCGGCTGCCCCCGGATCCCCCTGCGGGGCGGGGGTGCCCGCCTCGGGCCAACCCCGCCCGCTGCCGAGAAGCGCTCGGGCGGGCAACCTGCCAGGGCTCGCTTCGATGCCTTCGGCTCGATCTCGACATGGATTCCTTCGATCCGATTCGATTCCGATGTCGATCCCCTCGACTCGGTTTTGAATTCAGATTGGATTTCGAAGCCTTCGATGCCTTCGGTTCGCTTCGACTTCTTCGATTCGATTTCTCCGGTTCGATTTTGATGGCTTGCCGATTCCGATTCCTCTCGCTTCGCGGGGTGCAAGGCCGGAGCGCGTGCTGTCCAGTCCCTGCGTGGCCTGGTGGGAGCCTCTCGGGGGTTCCTGGGAACGCCTCGAGAGCGCCTCGGGGCCTCCTGGGAGTTTGCTTGGGCCCTGCCGCGGCCTCCTGGGGGCGTCTTGGGCCGAAATTGCCATCGATGTGTGCAGTGCGCGGGGGGGGAACGCGTGCAGTGCAGTCGCAACGTTAATGTTGAGGGAAGCCGTGGAGAGAGCAGGTTTAACCAGAGCCTGAGTTGCTGCTACCCTTGCGCTTGCGCTACCCTTCCGCAGCCTCTGTGGCACAAAAGTTACTACGGTAGCGGAGCTGGTTACGGCCAGCTCCCGATGGGCGCCTTCCCCGCGGTTAGGGGCGCTGGCCATAGCTCTCGCGGCCGCGGCCGCAGGGCGAGCGGTCCACGGCAACCAGCTGACATACCAGCTGGACAAGATCCACGTGACCAAGCAGCTGGAAAAAGGCCCACGTCACCGAGCAGCTGGACAAGGTCTACGTGACCACAGGAGCGCTGGACAAGGTCTACGTGACCACAGGAGCGCTGAACGAGGTCTACGTGACCACAGGAGTGCAAGACGAGGTCTACGTGACCACCACAGGAGTAAAAGACGAGGTCTACGTGACCACAGAGCTGAAGGACGAGGTCTGCGTGACCACACACAAGCAGAGCGATGTTTTCGTGACCACAGACAAGCAGAGCGAGATCTACGTGACCACCGACAAGCAGGACGAGGTCTGCGTGACCACCGACAATCAGGACGAGGTCTACGTGACCAACGACACGCAGGACGAGGTCTACGTGACCTCCGACAAGCAGGACGACGTCTACGTGACCACCGACAAGCGGGACGAGGTCTACGCGACCACCGACGAGCAGGACGAGGTCTTCGTGACCATGACGGAGCCTGGTGCCGAGTGGCAGGGATTCGGGCTGAAGCCACCAACGTTCGACGGCCACGAGGAGATGGGGTCAGAGATGAGTTTCGTGATGCGGGCGTACCTGGGCATCAGCATGGCGGATGCTGTCCATCGTCTGGGAGTTGAAGGAGATGCGGCAACGAAGATGATGCTTTTCGCGCTGGTCCTGACAGCGAAAGGCAGCGCGCAGATGCTGATCAGGGGCGCAGAGGACCAGAACGGAGCGCTGGCGTGGCGCGCTCTGATCAAGCGCTACGAGGCAGCGACGGCAATGAGGGCGCAAAGTATCATGACAGCGATTCTGAAGGTGGAGAATTTCCCTTCGGACCTGGCGGGGTTCGAGCAGTGCCACTCAGACATGGGAGCGCGGCGCCAGGCGCTACGAAACGGCGTCAGGAGAGGCGTTCAATGCAGGGGTCAAAAAGAGCATCTACCGACAGAAGGCGCCGAAGAACAGCAGGACGGCACTGCAGATGCAGAGCGAATTGAGCTATGATGACGAACCGATCGGCACCGCGACGCAGCACTTACAGGCGGCGGCGGTGCGCGAGGGCGGGTGCCAGCCGAAGTGGCCGATCCCGCCGGGACTTGGGGCCGAAGGCAGCAGAGGAAGCCGAACGTCAGGAGCCATGGGGGTGGGCGCGCTCATATCGTAGTATCCCAAAGGCAAGGGCAAAGACGGCACAGGCAAAACAGGCGGTGACAACAGAGGCAAGACCAGGAGCGAATACCAAAGGGGCAAGGGCGCGGATCCCATGGCGAGGGCGGCAGCAACGCGACAGCCAGCCTGGAATGCGCCAGGGGCACCTGGGGCGAGGCTACGCTAATCATGTGGAAAGAGGGGGCGCCATGCGAGAGATTGCGGGCGTCGACAGGAGATCCCCAACTACGACGGGTAAGCGGAAGGCCAAGAAATGGCAGAACGGCGGAGCGAACCAGATCACGATGTACGACGGCTGGGGCAACATCAGCGCACAACCTCCAGGGAGTCTAGCACCATCGGCAGCCGGACCGTCAGCCAGCCAAGTGGGAGCAGGAATTCGAGCGATCACCACGATGGATGAGCACGCGACAGAGTGGGAAAGTGGTTTGATCTGCGCAGTTACGAAGGACTGGAAGCCAAAGGTGCAGGAGAGGAAGGTCTACAGCATGATGTGGAACGGCATGTGGCTGTCGTTCTGGACGCTTGCGGACAGCTGCGCAGATGAGCACGTGCGCGGCATCAGGGACTCCCCGAGAGCTCAAACCTGGATGCAGCCCCAACCTGACGGTCGCAGACGGCGCGCCACTGCGGTACTACGGATCGAAGACGGTGACGCTCTGCATAGCTGGCGACAGGCGCATCATCTTGGAGTTCCAGGCCGCTGACGTGAAGCAGCACATCATAAGCGTGGGCAAGTTCTGCACCAAGATGGAGAGCCGCGCTGCGTGGTGCGACGGCAAAGGAGGACTGCTGAGGCACGAGACGGCAGGACTGGTCAAGCCTAAGAAGACCAACGACCACTACGCACTGGAGTGCTGGACCAAGATGTACGTTGACATGGGGGTGGTCCACGGAGAGATGGCGCTGCTGGCGCCGATCGGGGCAGCAGTCGCAGCAGCGCGACCAGGTGAGGAGAGCGAAGACGGAGACGCAGGTCACCGAGCATTGGCAGGAGGACCAATAGTGCTACCACCAGGAGCGGCAGCAACCACAGGTCGCATCCCGAGGAGCTGGAGATGTACTAGCGGATGCGCCCGCAGAAGGACCAGTCGCAATTCCCGACGACCACGAGACAGTGGACCCGAGACGACAGCCAGTGGACTACGTGGACCTTTTTACTCGAGAGCCACTTGCAGAGGTGATCGAGAGACACGAGCTGACGCACTACCCAGCTGAACCAGGGTGTGAGATCTGCAGCCAGGCAAGGACCAACGACGTAGCCCGCAAGAAGGAGGATAGCCGCGACGAGCTGATCCCACTGCTGAGCTTCAACTACGGCCAGGCGGGCATCGAGGGGGACCCCGTCGACTTCGAGTTCGTATTGGGCAGCGGCGCTCCGACCGGGGGCATCTGGAGCACGGCCATCATTCCGAAAGTTCGAGACGACGTCTGTCCCAGTTCGACGTCTACGACGTCGAGCCGGGGCACTCACGATTGCAATTGCACGCAGAGGGGGGCAGCCGTCTTCTCGTTCATCATGGCAGTCAGGGCCAGGGCGATCAAGGACGGCATCTGCGAGACGTTCCTCATGGGGCAGTCGGAGAGGTGCAACAGCCAGGCGCGCGGCAGGGCCGACAGAGTTACCCAGACGGTTAGGAAGCAAGTGAGGGCTTTGATGCTGCAGGGCAACAAGGAGCTGAACCACGACCTCAAGCCCGACCCCCCCTTCCTTACGTGGTAGCCGAGGCATGCAGCGTGGCTCTGCAACAGATGCATGGTCAGGGAGGGCACCAACCTCACGCCCTTCGAGAAGACCCACATGCTCAAGCACCAGAAGCCCACCGTCGCAGTCGGCGAGGCAGTGATCTGCAGGAGGCCAGGAGCCCAGGTGAACAAGCTCGGGCTGCCGCGGCTGGAGGGCATCTGGCCAAGTGGCGACGCGAGGACGGGCGGGCACCTGATCGGAGCGCCGACGAGAGCGTGCAGGCCCCGGGCGGTGAAGAGGAAGGTGGAGGGCCGACGCTGGGACAAGGTGCTGTTCGACAAGATGAGGTGGACACCCTGGGAACCGACGCCAACCGCGAGGGGGGGACTACCGGCGCAGAGATCACTACGGGAACCGATCCCACTCGGGCCGCCACCGAAGACCCTGGGCCCGCACGCGGCAGCCGCAGCCGCAGCAGGAGCGGCAGCAGCAGGAGGAGGACCACCACCAGCACCACCGCAGCCAGCAGCAGCAGCGGCGGCAGCACCGCACGACGACGTGGACATGGACAAGAAGCGATTGGAGGCGAAGAGGGCCCGGAACGAGGCGGCGGGGCCGTCAACACCGAGGGCGGCGCCGCCGCAGCCAGCGGGCATTCCGCCGGTAGAGAGGAGTCCCAAGCGAGAACGCGAAGGCGGAGAAAGAAGCGAAGGCAAGAAGTCCATGGTCGCTACCATCCAGATAATCAACGCGGTCAGGAAAAAAGCGAGGAGCCACAGGTGGAGGACGAGGAGACGCGCGCGCTGGAGGGCGACTTCACGGAGGCGAGGAAGGGACACTTGGAGAATATCGCATGAGACGGCAAGAAGATCGCACAGGTAATCCCCATCCAGGACACGACGTCCGAGATCTCGACGGGCAAATGAGTCGACACCTAACAGGCGGGCGGCAGCAAGAAGACTCGGTGGACCACGAGGGGCCTCGAGCGGCGCGGGAACTTCGTGGCCACGACCCCTCACTCCCGCACCTGAAGGCGATGCTGGTCAGCGCGGGGTTGCACGACCACGCGGTGGCGTTTGGCGACTGCAGTGGAGCTTTCCACCGGGCACCGCTCACCGAGGACCGCATCTTCCTGGAGCCGCCACCAGAAGCAGGAGTACCTGAAGGACATGTTCGGGAGGCGCTGTGCGCATTTCCAAGATCCAAAGGAGCGCCGAAGGCTTGGGAGGACCACGGCGCGGACACCATGGAGGAGCTTGAGATGGTCAGGGGCCACTACGACGGGTGTCTCTTCGCGAAGCTGAGCAACAGGACGATGGCTGGTGGGGGCGCCGATGACTTCCCAATCGCTGGGCCGAGCGACGAAGTCGACTTGCTGCTAGAGGTGATGGGAGAGAGATGGAAGTCAGCGGACGCGCAGCTACGCGATCAGCGGCAAGACGAGCTTGACCGACGACGTCCTGAAGGAGCTGGGCCTGGAGACGGCGAAGCCATCAGTACTGCCCGAGACCACGAACGAGATGCACATGAAGAGCGACGAGTTCAAGCTAGACACAGTGGGCCACAGTTGTCACAGGACCTGCGTGGGGAAGCAATTTCAGTTGGCGAGCCGCTGTCCTGACATTTAACGTGGAGTTGGAGTCCTAAGCAGGGGCATGTCAGGACCGACGGAGAAGGACCTGGCGGGGCCGCAGAAGATGGATCGGTACCTTGCAGGCGCGCGAGACTACAAGATGCAGTTGCTTCCGAACAAAGGGGACATTGCAGTGGAGTGCTGGGTGGGCGCAGAATGGGCCGATGACAAGACGGACGGGATCTCGACGAGGGGTGGCATCCTGAAGCACCACGGATGCACCATCCTGTCGTGGTCGAGACGCCAGGGCTGCGCGGCATTGAGTTTGGCGGAGAGCGAGCTACACGCGCTGGGATCGGGAGCAGCGGAGGCTCTCGGACTGGCATCACTACTCGAGGAGTGGAAAGAGAAGCCGATGCTGCTCGCGATGAGCGACAGCAGCAGCGTGCTACATATTGTAAAGAAACGCGGGCCAGGACAGATGAAGCACGCGGAGATGCGCTTCCTGGCGCTGCAGCAGTGGCGAGAACAAGGACGATTGAGTTTCGGCAGAGTATGCGCCCGCGAGAACCCGAGCGACATGATGACCTAGCCGATGACCAGGGAGAAGCTGGAGAAATTTTCGGATGTGGCTGGCTTGGTACGCTCGCAGGGAGATAGAGGCTTGAGGCCAGGCGGGTGAGAAAGGAGCGAGCGAGGAGGATACCTGCCTGCGTCGTAGAGCATGGGGATATGATTTTTTGAGGGGGGAAGGGCCTCAGTGGCCTAGCTACCCCCCGCTCCATTTTAGAAATTATTTTGATAGCGTTCCCCTACGAGGTCTGGGCCCAGAGTAGACCTGGCGACCTCGAGGGCGGTTTGAAGGAGACCGTGGAGAGAGCAGGTTTGACCGGAGCTTGTGGCGCTACCCTTGCGCTACCCTTCCGCAGCCTCTCTGCGCAAAACTTTTCATTTAAGTAGGGCCTGTCCCTCTACAGGACGAACAGTCGAAAATAGTTAAGACATGGTCGGGGCACGATTGTTCGACTATGTTGGATAAGTTTTGGTGCATTTGTTTGGTATGTTTTATATTTTTCGCGTCGCACCCCCTGTAGGAGGACAGGCCCGACCTAATCGTAGCGGGGGCTCCTGTGGGCCTTTGGCAGGTTTCCTCAGGGCCTCCGCAAGGGCTTCTTGGGATTCTCTTGGGTCTTGGGGCCCCTTTGGCGCGTGTTGGGCAGTTTTGGGGCGCTCTTGCGCTGCGCGGTCCCTTCTGATGCAAAAGGCAGCGCGCAGTTCAAACTCCGGCGAGCATAGCAACAACGCGCCATTCGTTTTCGATTCCGCGGGCTTTTTGGTGGCGTCAGTGGGCCTTTCGCGGGCCTTTGGCGGCCTCTTGGGGGCCCCGGGGGCTTTGGGAGGCCTCTACGGGGGTTTCTGTAGAGCCATTTTGGAGCCTCTCGGGGAGTCTTGAACCGTTTGAGGGCGCCTTTGCACCGATTCGCCCGTCCGGATGCCGTCCAGGGGGCATCTCGCGGCCGCCTTGGGGCCCTCTTGGGCTCCTCTTGAGCCGTCTCCGGGGTTCCTTGGATTTGTTCAGGTGCATGTTCAGGCCGTCTTGGGCCGTGATGGGGCCTTCTTGGGGGCTTCCTGGACCGTCTTGGGGCCATATTGGAGGCTTTTTGGGCTTGCTGGCTTGTTTTGGTCGTCGCGGTCGTCTGAGAATCCAAAAATGAGAGAAGGCTCCATCCTTTCAAACATCGCAGGAAATTATAGATTTTGGTCTATGGAGGCGCTTTTTGGGGGGCCCTCTTGGAGCCCTCTTGGGCGTTTTTGGGCGTGTTTTCGGCCCTCCTGGGGCCATTTTGGACCGTCTTGGGGTTGTCCTGTCTCGTCTCGATGCCATCCTGAGCCCTCGTGACGCCGCTTTGGACCCCCAAACGGCCCCACAGGCCCAAATCCCCAAATCATTGATTTTTCATCGGTTGTTGTAGGTTTCGAAGCCCAAGGAGGGTCCGTCACGTTTGGGTCGACGGAAATGGCGCGACTCCAGGAAGAGGTTGGGGACACATCATAATGTAACACAATCCAGTATGTGGCTATGATGCATTTATTGGACACGTCGGGTACTTTGCATGGTCGCCTTCGCGGAAAAGGCGGCCGCGAAGCCCGTCACCTCCTGAGGTTGATTTTTCAGGCGTGCGCAGCATCCGCCGGCCCCTTGTTGTTTTTGATTCGGGCGGGCGCGTGGGTCTCCCAAGCTCGTTGTGGAAGCTATCTTGAAGGCGTACCAGGGTGCCGGGAAATCCGTTGGGGCGCCCACGCGCCTTCGACAGGGGCTGCGTTTGCAAGGAAGCGTGAACCCGGCCGTTCCACAAAGTTTCAGGGTGCACGAATGAGCAGCGAGATTTGCCCGACAAGGCCAAAGGATTGCACCTTCCTAGAACCAAATCGCGCGCGAAACGCGCGTGCTTCCAGTACATGTGGGTAGAGAGAGAGGGGAAAGATGTGGATGTATGTGTATAACCATGAATGTATATATATATATATATATATATATATGTATATACATATGTGTGTATCTAAGTATATATGGACATCTGTATATCCATACCATAGGCAGGGATAGGGATGGAAACGGGGTGGATCTGTGCATATGGCACACAGGTGCGTACAGCACGTGCGTATGTGAGTATTCATATGTATACCTATATCCACCCATCCACTGATTGGGAGTTTTCCCTTGTGTACTGGCTTTAGTAAAATTGGCCGCGCGTGTGATCCCGTCTCTGAGCCAGCCCCCCCGCTTCCTGTTGCTGGAGTCCACAGACATCTACCCAGATAGATCTGGAGGAAATCAGGAGGCGCTACGAAACGGCGTCAGGAGAGGCGTTCAATGCAGGAGTCAAAAAGAGAATCTACCGACAGAAGGCGCCGAAGAACAGCAGAACGGCATTGCAGATGCAGAGTGAATGGAGCTATGACGAACCGATCGGCAACGCGACGCAGCACTTACAGGCGGCGGCGGTGCGCGAGGGCAGGCACCAGCCGAAGTGGCCGATCCCGCCGGGACTCGGGGCCGAAGGCAGCAACGGAAGCCGAACCTCAGGAACCATGGGGGTGGGCGCGCTCACATCGTAGTATCCCAAAGGCAAGGGCAAAGACGGCAAAGGCAAAAAGGTGGAGACAACAGAGGCAAGACCAGGAGCGAAGACCAAAAGGGCAAGGGCGCGGATCCCATGGCGAGGACGGCAGCAACGCGACAGCCAGCCTGGAATACGCCAGGAGCACCTGGGGCGAGGCTACGCTAATCATGTGGAAAGAGGGGGCGCCATGCGAGAGATTGCGGGCGTCGACAGGAGATCCCCAACTACGACGGGTAAGCGGAAGGCCAAGAAATGGCAGAACGGCGGAGCGAACAAGATCACGATGTACGACGGCTGGGGCAACATCAGCACACAACTTCCAGGGGGTCTAGCACCATCGGCAGCCGGACCTTCAGCCAGCCAAGTGGGAGCAGGAATTCGAGCGATCACCACGATGGATGAGCACGCGACAGAGTGGGAAAGTGGTTTGATCTGCGCAGTTACGAAGCACTGGGAGCCAAGGTTGCAGGAGAGGAAGGTCTACAGCATGATGGGGAACGGCATGTGGCGGTCGTTCTGGACGCTGGCGGACAGCTGCGCAGATTAGCACGTGCGCGGCATCAGGGACTCTCTGAACGTGGAGCTCAAACCTGGATGCAGCCCCAACCTGACGGTCGCAGACGGCGCGCTACTGCGGTACTACGGATCGAAGACGGCGACGCTCTGCATAGCTGGCGACAGGCGCATCATCTTGGAGTTCCAGGCCGCTGACGTGAAGCAGCACATCATGAGCGTGGGCAAGTTCTGCACCAAGATGGAGAACCGCGCGGCGTGGTGCGACGGCAAAGGAGGACTGCTGAGGCACGAGACGGCAGGACTGGTCAAGCCTAAGAAGACCAACGACCACTACGCACTGGAGTGCTGGACCAAGATGTACGTTGACATGGGGGTGGTCCACGGAGAGATGGCGCTGCTGGCGCCGATCGGGGCAGCAGTCGCAGCAGCGCGACCAGGTGAGGAGGGCGAAGACGGAGACGCAGGTCACCGAGCATTGGCAGCAGGACCAATAGTACTACCACCAGGAGCGGCAGCAACCACAGGTCGTATCCCGAGGAGCTGTAGATGTACTAGCGGATGCTCCCGCAGAAGGACCAGTCGCAGTTCCCGACGACCGCGAGACAGTAGACCCGAGACGACAGCCAGTGGACTACGTGGACCTCGAGACTCGAGAGCCACTTGCAGAGGTGATCGAGAGACACGAGCTGACGCACTACCCAGCTGAACCAGGGCGTGAGATCTGCAGCCAGGCAAGGGCCAACGACGTAGCCCGCAAGAAGGAGGATAGCCGCGACGAGCTGATCCCACTGCTGAGCTTCAACTACGGCCAGGCGGGCATCGAGGGGGACCCCGTCGACTTCGAGTTCGTATTGGGCAGCGGCGCTCCGACCGGGGGCATCTGGAGCACGGCCATCATTCCGAAAGTTCGAGACGACGTCTGTCCCAGTTCGACGTCTACGACGTCGAGCCGGGGCACTCACGATTGCAATTGCACGCAGGGGGGGCAGCCGTCTTCTCGTTCATCATGGCAGTCAGGGCCAGGGCGATCAAGGAGACGTTCCTCATGGGGCAGTCGGAGAGGTGCAACAGCCAGGCGCGCGGCAGGGCCGACAGAGTTACCCAGGCGGTTAGGAAGCAAGTGGGGGCTTTGATGCTGCAGGGCAACAAGGAGCTGAACCGCGACCTCAAGCCCGACCCCCCTTCCTTGCGCGGTTGCCGAGGCAGGCAGCGCGGCTCTGCAACAGATGCATGGTCAGGGGGGGCGCCAACCTCACGCCCTTCGAGAAGACCCACATGCTCAAGCACCAGAAGCCCACCGTCGGAGTCGGCGAGGCAGTGATCTGCAGGAGGCCAGGAGCCCAGGTGAACAAGCTCGGGTTGCCGTGGCTGGAGGGCATCTGGCCAGGTGGCGACGCGAGGACGGGCGAGCACCTGATCGGAACGCCGACGAGAGCGCGCAGGCCCCGGGCGGCGAAGAGGAAGGTAGAGAGCCGACGCTGGGACAAGGAGTTGTTCGACCAGATGAGGTGGACACCCTGGGAACCGACGCCAACCGCGAGGGGGGGACTACTGGCGCAGAGATCACTGCGGGAACCGATCCCGCTCGGGCGGTCACCGGAGTACCTGGGCCCGCACGCGGCAGCCGCAGCCGCAGCAGGAGCGGCAGCAGCAGGAGGAGGACCACCACCAGCACCACCGCAGCCAGCAGCAGCAGCGGCGGCAGCACCGCACGACGACGTGGACATGGACAAGAAGCGATTGGAGGCGAAGCGGCCCGGGGACCGTCAACGCCGAGGGCGGCGCCGCCGCAGCCAGCGCGCATTCCGCCGGTAGAGCGGAGTCCCAAGCGAGAACGCGAAGGCGGAGAAAGAAGCGAAGGCAAGAAGTCCATGGTCGCTACCATCCAGATAATCAACACGGCCAGGAAAAAAGCGAGGAGCCACAGGTGGAGGACGAGGAGACGCGCGCGCTGGAGGCGACTTCACGGAGGCGAGGAAGGGGCACTTGGAGAATATCGCATGAGACGGCAAGAAGATCGCACAGGCAATCCCCATCCAGGACACGACGTCCGAGATCTCGACGGGCAAATGAGTCGACACCTACCAGGCGGGCGGCAGCAAGAAGACTCGGTGGACCACGAGGGGCCTCGAGCGGCGCGGGGACTTCGTGGCCACGACCCCTCACTCCCGCACCTGAAGGCGATGCTGGTCAGCGCGGGGTTGCACGACCACGCGGTGGCGTTTGGCGACTGCAGTGGAGCTTTCCACCAGGCACCGCTCACCGAGGGCCGCATCTTCCTGGAGCCGCCACCAGAAGCAGGAGTACCTGGAGGACATGTTCGGGAGGCGCTGTGCGCATTTCCAAGATCCAAAGGAGCGCCGAAGGCTTGGGAGGACCACGGCGCGGACACCATGGAGGAGCTTGAGATGGTCAGGGGCCACTGCGACGGGTGTCTCTTCGCGAAGCTGAGCAACAGGATGATGGCAGGTGGGGGCGCCGACGACTTCCTAATCACTGGACCGAGCGACGAAGTCGACTTGCTGCTAGAGGTGATGGGAGAGAGATGGAAGTCAGCGGACGTGGTGGAGCTAACCCAGAACGGAGACCAGGCACCGTTCCTGAACGCGCAGGTGGAGAAAGTCGAGGGCAGCTACGCGACCAGCGGCGAGACGAGCTTGACCGACGACGTCCTGAAGGAGCTGGGCCTGGAGACGGCGAAGCCATCAGTGCTGCCCAAGAGCGACGAGTTCAAGCTAGACACAGTGGGCCACAGTTGTCACAGGACCTGCGTGGGGAAGCAATTTGGGTTGGCGAGCCGCTGTCCTGACATTCAACGTGGAATTGGAGTTCTAAGCAGGGGCATGTCAGGACCGACGGAGAAGGACCTGAGGAGGCCGCAGAAGATGGATCGGTACCTTGCAGGCGCGCGAGACTACAAGATGCAGTTGCTTCCGAACAAAGGGGACATTGCAGTGGAGTGCTGGGTGGACGCAGAATGGGCCGATGACAAGACGGACGGGATCTCGACGAGGGGCGGCATCCTGAAGCACCACGGACGCACCACCCTGTCGTGGTCGAGACGCCAGGCTGCGCGGCAGTGAGTCCGGCGGAGAGCGAGCTACACGCGCTGGGATCGGGAGCAGCGGAGGGTCTCGGACTGGCATCGCTACTCGAGGAGTGGGAAGAGAAGCCGTTGCCGCTCGCGATGAGCGACAGCAGCAGTGTGCTACACATTGTCAAGAAACGCGGGCCAGGACATATGAAGCACGTGGGGATGCGCTTCCTGGCGCTGCAGCAGTGGCGAGAACAAGGACGATTAAGTTTCGGCAGAGTATGCGCCCACGAGAACCCGAGCGACATGATGACTTAGCCGATGACCAGGGAGAAGATGGGGAAATTCTCGGAGATGGTTGGCTTGGTACGCTCGCAGGGAGATAGAGGCTTGAGCCGAGGCGGGTGAGAAAGGAGTGAGCGAGGAGGATACCTGCCTGTGTCGTAGAGCATGGGAAGATGATTCTTTGAGGGGGGAATGGCTTCAGTGGCCTAGCTCCCCCCCCGCTCCATTTTAGAAGTTATTTTGATAGCGTTCCCCTACGAGGTCTGGGCCCAGAGTGGACCTAGCGACCTCGAGGGCGGTTTGAAGGAGACCGTGGAGAGAGCAGGTTTGACCGGAGCTTGTGGCGCTACCGTTGCGCTACCCTTCCGCAGCCTCTTTGGCGCAAAACTGATCATTTAAGTCGGGCCTGTCCCTCTACAGGACGAATAGTCGAAAATAGTTAAGAAATGGTCGGGGCACGATTGTTCGACTATGTTGGATAAGTTTTGGTGCATTTGTTTGGTATGTTTTATATTTTTCGCGTCGAACCCCCTTGTAGGAGGACAGGCCCGACCTAATCGTAGCGGGGATTCCTGTGGGCCTTTGGCAGGTTTCCTCAGGGCCTCCGCAGGGGCTTCTTGGGATTATCTTGGGTCTTGGGGCCCCTTTGGCGCGTGTTGGGCAGTTTTGGGGCGCTCTTGCGCTGCGCGGTCCCTTCTGATGCAAAGGGCAGCGCGCAGTTCAAACTCCGGCGAGCATAGCAACAACGTGCCATTCGTTTTCGATTCCGCGGGCCTTTTGGTGGCGTCAGTGGGCCTTTCGCGGGCCTTTGGCGTTTTGACGGCCCCGGGGGTTTCTAGGAGGCCTCTACGGGGGTTTTGGTAGAGCCACGTTGGAGCCTCTTGGGGAGTCTTGAGCCGTTTGAGGGCGCCTTTGCGCCGATTCGCCCGTCCGGATGCCGTCCAGGGGGCATCTCGCGGCCGCCTTGGGGCCCTCTTGGGTTCCTCTTGAGCCGTCTCCGGGGTTCCTTGGATTTGTTCAGGTGCATATTCAGGCCGTCTTGGGCCGTGATGGGGCCTTCTTGGAGGCTTCCTGGACCGTTTTGGGGCCATTTTGGAAGTTTTTTGGGCTTGCTGGCGTGTTTTGGTCGTCGCGGTCGTCTGAGAATCCAAAAAGGAGAGGAGGCTCAATCTTTTCAAACATCGCAGGACATTGTCGGTTTTGGTCTATGGAGGCCCTTTTTGGGGGGCCCTCTTGGAGCCCTCTTGGGCGTTTTTGGGTGTGTTTTCGGCCCTCCTGGGGCCATTTTGGACCGTCTTGGGGTTGTCTTGTCTCGTCTCGAAGCCATCCTGAGCCCTCTTGACGCCGCTTTGGACCCCCAAGCGGCCTCAGAGGCCCAAATCCCCAAATCATTGATTTTTCATCGTTTGTTGTAGGTTTCGAAGCCCAAAGAGGGTCCGTCACGTTTGGGTCGACGGAAATGGCGCGACTCCAGGAGGAGGTTGGGGACACATCATAATGTAACACAATCCAGTATGTGGCTATGATGCATTTATTGGACACGTCGGGTACTTTGCATGGTCGCCTTCGCGGAAAAGGCGGCCGCGAAGCCCGTCACCTCCTGAGGTTGATTTTTCAGGCGTGCGCAACATCCGCCGGCCCCTTGTTGTTTTTGTTTCGGGCGGGCGTGGGGGTCTCCCAAGCTCGTTGTGGAAACTATCTTGAAGGCGTACCAGGGTGCCAGGAAATCCGTTGGGGCGCCCACGCGCCTTCGGCAAGGGCTGCGTTTGCAAGGAAGCGTGAGCCCGGCCGTTCCACAAAGTTTCAGGGTGCACGAATGAGCAGCGAGATCGGCCCGACAAGGCCAAAGGATTGCACCTTCCTAGAACCAAATCGCGCGCGAAACGCGCGTGCTTCCAGTACATGTGGGTAGAGAGAGAGGAGAGAGGTGGAAATATGTGTATAATCATGAATGTATAAATCCATATATGTGTGTATAATACACACATATATATTGACATCTGTATGTATGTATATACATACATACATACACAGTGTATGTATGTATCTATATATATACATATATACATACATATATATATATATATTGGCATCTGTATATACATGCCATAGGTAGGGATAGGGACGGAAACGGAGTGGATCTGTGCATAACGCACATAGGTGCGTACAGCACGTGCGTATGTGAGTATTCGTATGTATATCTATATCAACCCATCCACTGATTGGGAGGTTTCCCTGGTGTACTGGCTTCAGTAACATTGGCCGCACGTGTGATCCCCTCTCTGAGCCAGCCCCCCCGCTCCCTGTTGCTGGAGTCCACAGACATCTACCCAGATAGATCTGGAGAAAATCAGGAGGGGACAAATTACACACAGACACAATGATCCGTCGACTGCCAGGAACAATTGGGGAATATATGTTAAGTGGGGGGACGACGAAACAAATTTAGAAAACATAAAAAATAGCTGGAAGTATGGGATTCGTGAGTATTCATTTGTGCGTCCCTGGGCCCCTCCAAAATCGCTGAAAACAATCAAGCCCCCAGCAGGGGGAACCGCAGAGGCCGCGGAGTCTTGAGCGACTGGCTCCCGGCAGTCGGGTCCGAGAGCAGGCGCATGGACCCTTTGTTGCCAAGAGGGAGTGCCCAGCACGTGTGACTGTGACGCACGGGAACATACTAATACTTGCATGTCCTCCTTGGAGGGGCGCGCCTGACCCGAACATGTAGTATGCCCATCTTTGTAGTGTATCGTTTCCCGAGCGGTGTGGCCAGAGAGCGCCCGCCACGACGCACATACTGTGAGACTTCTCGGTGCGCGCGTCGCCCCTGCTGAGCGACGCACATATAGTATAGTATGTTGGGGTGATGCGATGTGGGGGGTCGCAGTGCTCTCACGCGCCTCGCATCGGCGGTTCTTCGTGAGCAGGCTTTGCGCAAATCCTGACCCACCGACCTTGCGACAGGTTCATCCTCGCCGCCCTCCTCCATCTTATCGACCCCCTCCACGCTCCTGTTGACGTGGCGCCTCCACCTCGTAATTCTTGACGCTTCGCATATCCTCACCACCCATCCAGAATGGGTGCCCAGGGGAGTTGTCGCGAGGATGGTTGTTTGTGAGCATAGTGAAGCAAGCATGCTAACAATGCTGAAAGTTGACTTCAGGGAGCCTCTGAGAGCCATCTTGGGGTTCATTTGGAAAGCACTTGGGGCTCCTTTGGGCCCTCTCGGGACTCTTGGGGCTCTTGGGGCCCTCTCGTAGGCCCTGTTGAGGCAATCTTGGAGATAACCTATCAAAGGAGGGGGGTCGTAGGTGTCAGCCCCTGTTGGGCCCTTCTGGGCGCTCTTGAGTGGCCTTCGCGCCGCCTTATCATTCTTGGGCAATTATTGGAGCCGACTTAGCTGTCTTGGCGTCATCCTGAGGCATCAGGAGCTCCTCGGAAGAGAAACATCGATATGTCAACATGCATTGGTTTCCCTCAGACTTTGCAAGAGTGTTGGCCTCTCGTGCTGACATTTGGGAGGCTATGTGGCCACTTGGAACCGTCTCGGGGCGGTCATGCCGCCTATTCGATGCATGCTGGCGGCTATTCTTGAGCAATCTTGGACCATCTTGAGGCTTGAGCGATATTGGAGGCCATCTGGGCCATATGAGGCCCGGTTTAGCCATCTTGGGCCATGTTGGACACAGAGGGCCCGGAGGCCTTCTCGGGGCGCTCTCGGGCCGTCTGGCGCCTGCAGGGGCAGCTCGGGGGCTCCTCTCGGCGGTAACGGGACAGTGAGAGCCATCTTGCGGCTTTCGTGGGCACTCCTAGAGTGCCCTCGTGGGCCGTCATGGGGTCTTTTGAATCCTGTTAGGGTCGTCCTGAGCTGGTCTGTAGAGCCTCTTGGGCTGTCTTGGCTGATCCTCAAAACGGAGCAAGTGAGAGCCCGAAACCAATTGAAAGCGATGCATGCTTGCGTCCATTCTGAACCGCCTTGGGCCGTCTTTGAAGCCATCTTGGCAATATTGGAGGCACGTTTTTTTACTCTGGGCGCTTTGTGAGGCGGGGTGACGCGAGACGGGCCGAAAGCCGATGGGATTCATGGGAGGCCCCTGAACTGTCCCATACTTCGGCACGACGGGCGCCTGGTGGCTGGCACCGGGGGCGGCAGTACTAGTGGTCTCGGTCTCGGGCTGACGACGAGGACGAGGACGACGACGACGAGGACGACGACGACGACGACGACGACGACATGAACGACGACGACAACGACGACAACGACCGCGCCCGGGAGGCAGATCATAAGCCCCAATTGTCAGGGGCAACGATAGGGGGGGGGATAGGCATAGGGGGGATGCATCGACAGGCAATCGCCCATTGATCGCCGATAGGGGCCCGATAGCCTCAACCTGCCCAGGCAGGTTCGGAGTCACGATCGGAGGCATATCGCTGATCCATCGGCGATGTATCGCCGATTCCAGGTCGATGCATCCCCCCTTGTGCCAGTCCCCCCCTATCGTTACCCCTCAGATTGGCGGCCTGTTGATGCCTCTAGGGGGCTTGGCCTCTTCGGGCCTCCAGGGACTTCTCTCTGGGGTCTTCGGGTGCCTCTCGAAGGTTCCTCTCGGGGGCCTTCGGGGCGTGTTGCTTTATACTATAGGGTTAAGTCGGGCCTGTCCCTCTACAGAAGGAATATTCAATAATAGTCCCAAATAGTCTGGTGACGATTTTGTTGATGACAATGTTGGATTTTTTTTTTTTTTTTTTTTTTTTTTTTTTTTTTTTCAATATTTTAAGTTTTGCGTCTCACATCCGCCTGTAGGAGAATATGCCCGACCTAACTGTAGGGGAGGATTCCAGCGGTCTGGCGGTGGCGCGCTTGTCGAACCCCGCTCTCGAGGCCGGCTGGGAGCCTTTCTTAGGGGCACTGGGGGCCGGTCGAGCTTTGGGGCCTCTAGGGCTGTCCCTGGCATGTTTTAAAACCGCGATGGCGAGATTGTTTACAAACCGTGCAAAACGAGCCTTGGGGCTGGCACGAGCCTTTGGGCTGGCCCCTGCAGGGCCTCCAATACGGCCCAGGAGGCCTCTAAGACGGTTGCCAGGCTGACTCCCGAGGCTGCCGTAGGGCATGTTGGAAGCTTTGGCCAACAAAGGCCGCTTCTGGGGCCTCGAGAAAACTCACGCGAGGATCCCCAGCAGCGTCCGTGAGTTGGGACTTGAGACCCTTGAAGAGAATGTCCATGATTCAATGTTGAAGACTGGAAGGGGTTTGAAAAAGCTACGCTCAGTTACAGCAGCCGGGCGCCTGCCCAGTACCTCGAGTGGCACCCAGCTTGGGGGACTACTGCAGCCGTGTTTGGGTGACATTGAACAACTTCTGAGCCGTCTTGGGGCCGTGGGCAGCCCTGGAAGGCAGATCGTATGGTCCGCGGCTTCCCTGAACCATATTGCCAGTAGGGGGTCGATCTTGAGCATCAGATAATCCCTGGCAAACAGTTCAGCGGTATGATGACGTATCCAAGCGATCCGTGGACATTTCCGTGGGCACGCGGATAGACAAGTAAGCGAGTCTGTCGTCCCCTCGTCATCCAAGGGGCTCAGTTCGTCCCTCACGAAGACGCCGACAACACTGTCATCGTAACCGACGTTGGCAAGGGCTAGCCTTTCCCATGAACGCCACTGGGTTCAAGAGCTTCTCTTGAACTCCGACCTCAGATCCTGAGCCCCACGGGTGCTTGTGATGCGGCCTTTCGACGTCAGTGACTCCAGCAGCGTATCCAGACTTATCTAACACCGTCGACTTCGATGTTTCCGCAGTCCGTTGCTTGGCTGACTAGCAGCGTTTGCGCAGTCGGTCACCAGGTTTCATCTTGTGGAGATGGCCGTTCGCGATGAGGAGGAGGAGGAGGAGGAGGAGCAGGAACATGCGCAGATCAGAGGGGCGAGGAGGAAGATGAGGAGGACTCGCCCAACATTGTCAGAGCCGTGCATGGCCGCATGGCCGTGCAACATGCGTGGGCAGACATACCCGACCTCACGATCTTTCGGAGATGCGGGACGATTTGCTTCTAGTTTGGGACGACATTCACAGGCGAACGAGTCGGCACCGCGGAACGTTGCCATCTTTTGGATGCAACACCTTGGAGATCAAATTCTTACCGCTTCGCGTATCCCCACCAGCTCCGGCGTTGGCGTTTGGCCCGCTGGTAATTATTTGGCTTGTCCTCCCGCTTGCTCCCCTTGGCGGGTTGGGGCTCTCCCCTCGCACGTGCATCCCTGCATTGGCTTTTGGCCCGCTGGTAACTATCTCGCTTGGCCCCCCAAGCTGGCAATTATCTTGCGTGCTGCCCCATGCTCGATACGACCCGCTCTCTGGAATCGTCCTTGGGGCCGGAAATCAGAGAAGTATCCCCACAAGTCCCTCTCCCGCCCCTCTCTTCCCCCCCTGTCGCCCTGCCCTTCGCCGTCCGGTCTGTCGGGTGCTGGCGCCACTGTGCGACGCCCCGCTGTCCGTCGTCGGCTGCCGTGCTATGGTGCGGTTCCTCGAATTTACTTGGCATGCTTGCATGTGCGGTCGGCTGTCGACGGTGACGGCTGGGTTCGCTAATTATCTGGCTCTGTGCCCCAGTCAGCCCGATTGACCCGCCCTCTGGACTTTTCCTTGCGGGCCGCTGATCATAAAAAACGTATCCCCACCAGCTGGCGTTGGCTCTCGCCGACTCTTCGCCGGATTGTTTCTCTCGTTGTCTCTTCTCTGACCCTCTCTTGCGCACTTTGGGCCGTAGCTAGCGCGCTATGACTTTGACGGCGTGCGGCACCTCCGTATCGCTTGCGATCAAAAAAGTATCCCCACCAACCCATCCAGAGACGACGCCCATACGAGTTTCCTTGATCAGTGAAGTGCTGGATGTGCTGCTGGTGGCGTTGGTGGTGGTGGTGCTGCTGCTGTTGCCTCTTTTGGTGCTGATGTTCCCTCGGGGTCCTCGTTGGGTCCTCTTGGGGCTCTTTGGCCAGGTTTTGGGTCTTGAACCCTCTTTGGAGCCTCTCGGGGGCCCTTGAGAGCATATTGGGGACATTTTGGAGAGCATCGGTCGAATGAGGAGGGGTCCTTGATGTCGCCCCCCCCTCAGGAGACCTCTAAATCGCATCTTGGAACCATTTTGGGTTTTTTGGGGCCGTCTTGGGACCCTCATGGGACCCTCTTGGAAACCTCTTGAGGCTCTTTTGGGGCTCTCTTGGGAGCCCTGGAGCGCCTCTTGGGGCCATCGTCGAGGCCATCGATCAAAAGAGGGGAGGTCCCGATCTACGCCCCCCCTTGGGCCCTCAAAGCCGCCTCTTGGAGCCCTCGTGGGGCGCTCTTGGAGCGATCTTGGGCGCTCTCGGGGCCGTCTTGGGGGCCTCCTGGGGTCCCCTTGGGGCCTTTTTGAGCCATCTTGGGGCCACCTTGAGGCTTCAAACGCGCATCGGATGAGAAACGGCGAGAAGGTACATATCATCAATTTCCATTGGTTTTTGAATGATGTTTGGCTCTTGGAAGGGGTCCTGAGGGGTCTCCAAGAGCACCTGGGACTGTTGTGTGGCCCTCTTGGGGCTTCTTGGAGGCATGTCGGAAGCTGTTTTGATATTTTTTCGGCTGTCTCGAGCCATCTTGGAGGCTGTCTTGGAGCACCGGAGGCCTTCTTGGAGCTATCTTGAGCGAAGACGGACCCCCTGACACCTCGCGACTGCCGCCAGAGAAGCCCAGGGATGTGAGGGGGAGGGTACCCCTCCCCGAAGGGAAGAGGGTTTTCTTTGGAAGAAATAGAGATCTCGTTAGACCACCCAGAGGGCAGGTGGGATTCTGATTTTGCCTTGGCCCAGATCTGGCTTCGTCTGGCCTGATTCCGCTTGACCTGGCTTGAGAAATCTCGCAAGTAGTTGCCTCCTAACCATCTTTTCCCATTCGGCTCGTTGCATCACGTCGTCGTGCCGCACCCCCACGAATGTCATGTCAGGCGATCGTCAACATGTTAGCGACAGGCCCCGTTTCCATGGTAGATCGCGGACCTCCGCCGCCGAGCGAGGCAGCACCGGCCGCATCTTGGGGAGGGCACCCCCCTCGATCCATGGATTTGGCGACTGCGCGCCAAATCCATGGGGCCCCCCTCCCTGGCGCGCGGAGCGCGCCAGGGGCGGCGCCGGAGGCGCCGCCGGGGTGCCCCAGCGCCGATCCGAGAAATCCGCGCGGACCTCTGAGTTTTTATGTTTATGTCACTTCTTGGTCCCTATGATCGCCGCGCTGCCGTGAACAAGCACTCCCGTGGGCGCGCAAGCATGGATTTGCGATCCATGGATTTGGCGCGCAGCCCCCCAATCCATGGATTAGACTGGATTGGACTGGCAACTTGGACTGGATTGGCTGGATGGGACTGGCGAAGCACGCGACGCTCGGCGGCGCGCCGGGGGTGGACGGCGGGAGGGGCCTGGCCCTCTCCAGAGGCCACGCGCACGGGGTGGTTTCCTCTCGGGAGGCCCGAGGGCTTCCCACTGGGGCCCACCGCCTTCTGAGAAGGCCTGCCCCCTCTCCCTCTCCACCTTAGCTTGCGGCCGTTTTTCGGGGGCTACCCTGACACGTCGATTAGTGAATTGTCCGTCTTCGGTTGTCCAGAGGGCGCCGCGGCCGTCATTTTCCAGGCTTGCGCCCGCCAGGTTTGGGCCCGAGGTCGTTTTCACTAAACCACGTTTTACTAAAGGGAGGTCTGTCCATCCCCGAGTTTTCTCGTTCACAGTCTTGCCGATCCACGCGGGCCCTCGCACACACACACACACACACACACACACACACACACACACACAGTCACACACACACACACACACACACACACATACACATACACATACACATACACACACATATACACACACACCTCCCCCACCCCCGTGGAGAAGGCCTTGGCTGTGGCTGCTTTGGGCGCCCGTTTCGAGCAGGTGGAGCCTCACACGACGCAGAGCTCCGGAGCCAGACCCCCCCGCCCTCCCCACCCCCCCCTTTCCGCCCAGTGTCGAAACGCCGAAAAAGAGAACGTTCACCTTGCCCCCTCTCACTTTCCGCACGCCACCGATCTAATCCTCCCCTCTGCCGACATCGCCCCGTCGTCGTCGTCGTCGTCGTCGTCGTCGTCGTCGTCGTCGTTCGCTGTCCTCTCGCTCCGCCCCAGGCCTTCTACAGGCAGACGGCCCCAAACCTCACGAATCTGTTGGCCACGCTGTTTATATTCTTCGCGGTGATCTACTTCCAGGGATTTCAGGCGGGACGCCCCCTTCCTCCTCAGCCGCCTTCAGAAGAAGAAGGAGGATGGAGCAGGGTTCGGATGCAACTCCTGGGAGGTCAAATTCTGAATTTGCCCTGGTCCCAGATGCGGCTGAATCCTCAGCAATTCCGCTTAGTCCGGCTTCATCCCGCTCCATGCGCGGCTTAACCTGGCGCAGCAGCCCCCGCATGGGGCTGAGTTCTACCTGATCCCTCCGACGATGGCCTCCCAGTAGTTGTCTCATAAGGGGTGGGGCGAGGAGGAGGAGGAGGAGTTGGGGGGGATCGAGCAGTGTTTCTTTTGGGAGCGAGGGGACGTGAACGCTCCCGGTGCAGGAGGGCGAGTGCCCGCGCCGAGATTGCCGGAGAGAGCGGGCGGCGCAGGGGAGGCAGAGGTGGCGGGGAGGGAGAACCTGGAGAGGGACGGAGAGTGGAGGAGGAGCTGTGGGAATGGAAGGATCGGAGAGAGCCAATGTCAGGAGGGAAAGAAACACACAGACACAATTAATCGGCGATTCACCAGAAAATGTGGAAAATATGGGAAGTGGGGGGGAAGACAAAACCCCAGAAAATATGGGAACACATGGGGAATCCTTATAGTTGTGTGTATTTATGAAAAGGCTGCCGCCTCTGCCGCCGACCCCAAAGAAGGTTTTCGAGTTGTTCAGTGGCATTTCTGGGTGGCTTCGGGCTCTTCGGTTCTCAAGAAAAACCGGAGCTTACTCAAGTGAGCGCGAGCGCGATTAGCGTTGCATTGCATGTTTCTGCGTTCGGTGCTGTTGCTGTCCGTCTGTTTTCGCACTTCGAGTTTCGACACGCATTTTCTCGCGCGGCTTGTGCCCTGTAGGAGGTTCCATCCAAGAAACTCCCAGGTAGTCTCCAAGAGGCTTCCTTAGACATCGTAGCACATTTGGTTGGTTTTTGTTTTCGTTTGACGACTCTTGTTTTAGTTTGTAGTTCCCAACCATCCTGTGGTGTTGGGTCCTCGTTTTGAAGAGACGGTGCCCCGCGTCTCCTTCCTCCCGCTGCCCCCTCCTCCCTCGTGCCCGCGCCCGCATGCGTCAGCCACGCCCATTTCGGCACAACTCTCACACGCTTCGTGGTTCCATAGGGAGCTCCACCGAAGGCCCCAGTGCCCGCGCCCGCATGCGTCAGCCACACCCATTTCGGCACACTCCTCACACGCTTCGTGGCTCCATAGGGAGCTCCACCGAAGGCCCCAGTGCCCGCGCCCGCATGCGTCAGCCACACCCATTTCGGCACACCCCTCACACGTTTCGTGGCTCCATAGGGAGCTCCACCGAAGGCCCCAGTGCCCGCGCCCGCATGCGTCAGCCACACCCATTTCGGCACACCCCTCACACGTTTCGTGGCTCCATAGGGAGCTCCACCGAAGGCCCCAGTGCCCGCGCCCGCATGCGTCACCCACACCCATTTCGGCACACCCCTCACACGTTTCGTGGCTCCATAGGGAGCTCCACCGAAGGCCCCAGTGCCCGCGCCCGCATGCGTCACCCACACCCATTTCGGCACACCCCTCATGCGTCACCACACCCATTTCGTTTCGTGGCTCCATAGGGAGCTCCACCGAGGAGCTCCACCGAAGGCCCCAGTGCCCGCGCCCGCATGCGTCACCCACACCCATTTCGGCACACCCCTCACACGTTTCGTGGCTCCATAGGGAGCTCCACCGAAGGCCCCAGTGCCCGCGCCCGCAAGCGTCACCCACACCCATATCGGCACACCCCTCACACGTTTCGTGGCTCCATAGGGAGCTCCACCGAAGGCCCCAGTGCCCGCGCCCTCATGCGTCAGCCACACCCATTTCGGCACACCCCTCACACGTTTCGTGGCTCCATAGGGAGCTCCACCGAAGGCCCCAGTGCCCGCGCCCGCATGCGTCACCCACACCCATTTCGGCACACCCCTCACACGCTTCGTGGCTCCATAGGAAGCTCCACCGAAGGCCCCAGTGCCCGCGCCCGCATGCGTCACCCACACCCATTTCGGCACACCCCTCACACGCTTCGTGGCTCCATAGGGAGCTCCACCGAAGGCCCCAGTGCCCGCGCCCACATGCGTCACCCACACCCATTTCGGCACACCCGTCACACGTTTCGTGGCTCCATAGGGAGCTCCGCCGAAGGCCCCAGTGCCCGAGCCCGCATGCGTCACCCACACCCATTTCGGCACACCCCTCACACGTTTCGTGGCCCCATAGGGAGCTCCACCGAAGGCCCCAGTGCCGCCGCCCGCATGCGTCAGCCACACCCAATTCGGCACACCCCTCACACGTTTCGTGGCCCCATAGGGAGCTCCACCGAAGGCCCCAGTGCTGCCGCCCGCATGCGGCAGCCACACCCAATTCGGCACAGAGCCCCCCGCAGACGTTTCGTGGCTCCATAGGGAGCTTCACCGAAGGCCCCAGTGCCCGCGCACGCATGCGTCACCCACACCCATTTCGGCACACCCCTCACACGTTTCGTGGTCCCATGGGGAGCTCCACCGAAGGCCCCAGTGCCCGCGCCCGCATGCGTCAGCCACACCCTTTTCGGCACACCCCTCACACGTTTCGTGGCACCATAGGGAGCTCCACCGAAGGCCCCAGTGCCCGCGCCCGCATGCGTCAGCCACACCCATTTCGGCACACCCCTCAAACGTTTCGTGGTCCCATAGGGAGCTCCACCGAAGGCCCCAGTGCCCGCGCCCGCATGCGTCAGCCACACCCATTTCGTCACACCCCTCACACGTTTCGTGGCCCCATAGGGAGCTCCACCGAAGGCCCCAGTGCCCGCGCCCGCATGCGTCAGCCACACCCGTTTCGGCACACCCCTCAAACGTTTCGTGGTCCCATAGGGAGCTCCACCGAAGGCCCCAGTGCCCGCGCCCGCATGCGTCAGCCACACCCATTTCGTCAACTCCCTCACACGTTTCGTGGCCCCATAGGGAGCTCCACCGAAGGCCCCAGTGGCCCGCGCCCAGCATGCGTCAGCCACACCCAATTTCGGCACACCCCTCCAAACGTTCGTGGTCCCATTGAAGGGAACTCCACGAAGGCACCAAGTGGCCCGTCTGCCCCGCCTGCGTCAGCCACACCCATTTCGTCACAGTGCCCCTCACACGTTTCGTGGCTCCATAGGGAGCTCCACCGAAGGCCCCAGTGCTGCCGCCCGCATGCGTCCCGCACACCCATCCCCTTCACACGTTTCGTGGCCCTATAGGGAGCCCCACCGAAATTGGTAGCGTCAACTGCGGTATTCACACCTGCACATGGTTGGGTCCTTTCGTCAGGCGAATTTGTCCCAACCATCCTGTGGTGTTGGGTCCTCGTTTTGAAGAGACGGTGCCCCGCGTCTCCTTCCTCCCGCTGCCCCCTCCTCCCTCGTGCCCGCGCCCGCATGCGTCAGCCACGCCCATTTCGGCACACCCCTCACACGCTTCGTGGCTCCATAGGGAGCTCCACCGAAGGCCCCAGTGCCCGCGCTCGCATGCGTCAGCCACACCCATTTCGGCACACCCCTCACACGCTTCGTGGCTCCATAGGGAGCTCAACCGAAGGCCCCAGTGCCCGCGCCCGCATGCGTCCACCCACCCATTTCTGGCACACCCCTCACACGTTTTTCGTGGCTCCATAGGGAGCTCCACCGAAGGCCCCAGTGGCCCGCGCCCGCATGCGTCAGAGCCACACCAATGGCGGCACAAAAAACCCCTCACACGTTCGTGGCTCCCTAGGAACTCCACTGAGGCCCCAGTGCCCCGCGCACCGCATTGCGTCAAGCCACACCCATTTCGGCACACCCCTCACACGTTTCGTGGCTCCATAGGGAGCTCCACCGAAGGCCCCAGTTCCCGCGCCCGCATGCGTCACCCACACCCAATTCGGCACACCCCTCACACGTTTCGTGGCTCCATAGGGAGCTCCACCGAAGGCCCCAGTGCCCGCGCCCGCATGCGTCACCCACACCCATTTCGGCACACCCCTCACGCGTTCCGTGGCTCCATAGGGAGCTCCACCGAAGGCCTCAGTGCCCGCGCCCGCATGCGCCAGCCACGCCCATTTCGGCACACCCCTCACACGCTTCGTGGCTCCATAGGGAGCTCCACCGAAGGCCCCAGTGCCCGCGCCCGCATGCGTCACCCACACCCATTTCGGCACACCCCTCACACGTTTCGTGGCTCCATAGGGAGCTCCACCGAAGGCCCCAGTGCTCGCGCCCGCATGCGTCACCCACACCCATTTCGGCACACCCCTCACACGTTTCGTGGCTCCATAGGGAGCTCCACCGAAGGCCCCAGTGCCCGCGCCCGCATGCGTCAGCCACACCTATTTCGGCACACCCCTCACACGTTTCGTGGCTCCATAGGGAGCTCCACCGAAGGCCCCAGTGCCCGCGCCCGCATGCGTCACCCACACCCATTTCGGCACACCCCTCACACGTTTCGTGGCTCCATATGGAGCTCCACCGAAGGCCTCAGTGCCCGCGCCCGCATGCGCCACCAACACCCATTTCGGCACACCCCTCACACGTTTCGTGGTTCCATAGGGAGCTCCACCGAAGGCCCCAATGCCCGCGCCCGCATGAGAAGAGGGGGCACCCATTTTCGGCACACGCCCCTCACACGCTTCGTGCTCCATTGGGAGCTCCAACCGAAGAAGTGCCCCAGTGCCCGCAACCGCATGCGTACAGCCACACAGGCATTTCGGCACACAACCTCACGAGGATCCGTGGGTCCCATGGGGATCTCCACCGAAGGCCCCCGTGCCGCGCCCGCATGGTGCGTTCGCCACACCCGATTCCGGACGCACGACCCCCCTCACACGCTTCGTGTTTTCTCATAGGGAGCTCCACCGAAGGGCCCCAAGTGCCCGCGCGGTGCCGCTGCGTCATCCGACACATGTTTTCGGCACACA